TTTTTTTTTTTTTTTTTAATTAGACAAGAGTCTCATTCTGTTGCCTGGGCTAGAGTGCAATGGCATCATCATATCTCACTGCAACCTTAAACTCCTGGATTCAAAGCAAACCTCTTGCCTCAATCTCCTGGGTAGCTGAGACTATGAGACTACAGGCTCATGTCACTATGCCTAATTAAAAAAATTTTTTTTTTCAGAGACAGAGTGTCTCAAATGCTTGGCCTCAGGTGATCTTCCCACCTTGGCCTCCCAAAGTGCTACAATTACAGGTGTGAACTACCATCCTTAGCTTCCACAAATATATTTAACATAGTATTTTTTTTTTTTCAAACAAAAGGTCTCACATATTTATTACTGGACCAGCATATTAGTGAAGAGCATATAAACAAAGAAAAACTCATTTTCCCAGTGAAATGTGGCCAACTGTCCAACTGATGGCATTTTCAGCTTGCTATGATAAGATGATACAGCATAAATATGTGCCATTTCATGTGTAATTCCTTCTAGACCCAGCTTGGTTCTTCTCCAGTGTCTCTTCTTTGAGTTATACCTGATTTTATTATCAGTTTTCATTTGAATCTATTGGGGAATGGGATGATTTTGTTTCTTAGCCAGAAGCTGCTTGATTCTGAAAGTCTTGTGAGAGGACATGGCAACAAATGGGATTAATCACACACACCATGATGTCTGAGAAAGGGAGAGAAGGGGGAAAGTGGCCAGAAGCACCTTAACATAGAATTTTAAACTACTTGTGTGATAGTTCCAAAATTTATTTCCTACCTGAGTCTGGTTTTGTTGATTGGTTTGTCTCTTGATGGTGTGTGTGTGTGTGCCTTTTTGTTTGTTTGTTTCATTATATGTCTTGTCATTTTTTGTTTTTTGAGACACAATCTCACTATGTTGCCCTCTGTAGAGTGCTGTGGTATCACAACTTACAGCAACCTCAAACTCTTGGGCTTAGGCGATTCTCTTGCCTCAGCCTCCCAAGTAGCTGGGACTACAGGTGTCTGTCACAATGGTTGGCTGTTTTGTTGTTGTTGTTGTTGTCATTGTTGTTTAATCTGTATAGTCCTCCTACACTCAAATCTCAGTCTGGTGAATAAAGCCCTGATTTCAGGAGCCATGATGGAAAATTAGGGCCTCTCGACTAATTCCCAGACAGACCATCCCCACCAGCTCCTGGCCAAGTACCACACAAGAAAGGGTAGGAGCGTTAGGAAGCACCTGCCTTTTAGGCTCTGACCCTTAAGTGGGAGGTCTCTATCATGGAGGGTTTCCTCAGAAGGGCCATATCTGTTAGGCCTAGGCTAAAGTAGAAAAATACCAATTAACTCCTGGCAAATTTCTGGGCTGCAAGCCCTCAACAAAATAGAGTAAGTCAGGTTCACTCCCAAGATAGATGGGAAAGTACTCACTAACTTCTTGCTTGACTAACTCCTGGGCCTGGGAAAAGAACTGACTGTTCCCAGACTGACCTTTAGACAATACCAGGTGGAGAGAATACTAAGACAAAGACGTATGGAGAAAAAGTGCTAGAAGTAAGATGTATGGGAAAATATTAAAACAAAGATATATGACACATGGCTAACTAACTGCAAAATTCTGCTTCTGTTGAGATAGGTTCCAGCAGCCTCATGGGTGCCAGCTGCCTCATCACCCCCATAAGATGGATACTGCCCACCACCAGCTTGCACCAGGGGGCTGTGTAGGATAAAAGATGAAAGGACAAAAAGATGAGAATACCATAACTCTGAAATGATGACAGGCACTATTACTCTTAGATGGGTCTGGATTGGGCTGGAACAGGATAAGATAAGAACGAATGGGCCAAGTACTGTCATGATGAGCGTTCACAAGTTAAGTGCTGGGACAAATTGTTTTACTTATCCATTAGTTGCTAGATCTGCATTATTACCTTATTGTTATCTAACTGCCCTTTGTGTTACCTATTGGCTAAACCGCTAAATTGCAAAGTTCCCTTCTGTAAAAGGGATCATTGTCACCCTTGCTTGCTTTTTGCTTCTTTTGCCAACTTTCTTTTTACTTCTAATTGCTAACTTTCAGCCCACCTGTTTGTCCCTTTGCCAACTTTCAGACTAGAAAAAAATCCCAACTTCGGACCCCTCAGTGCTCTCTCACATAGTCTGCCTTGGACTTTGCTGAGACAGGTCCACCTTTAATAAAAGAGTCCTTTTTGAACTTCTAATTTGAGTCAGTGGTCCTTATCTCTCCCCATAAGACTGTACAATGCCTTCTACCCCCACCCCAATGCACCAGGACAGCCTGCGTGCAAATCAGGATGCAGATTAAGCCTTAAAAACCTGACCCCTTAAACACTTGGGCTTGCTCTCAGAAACCCCATGTGGGGACACTGAGGCAGTCGCCTGCCGGCTCTTCAATAAAAGGACTGTAAATTTGGCTTGTTTGGCAGTGTGGTCTTTGTGGAACTCCTGGGCACAACATAACTCCTTGGTTTGGGGTTGCGTTCTTGTCAGACAGTCCGGAGTGAGGAGGTTCTGAGTGAAACTAAAAGGGTGACATTTCCCACTCAGACAAGGAACCTGACCGCACCAGGGACCGCGCTTGCGACCCTCCGTTTCGCCCGGCGCCCATTTCCACCTCTCCGATCGCCGGCGCGGCCCGGTAGGTGCCCCGGGTTCCTGCCCACACCGGAGCCCGGCGCGAGCCGCCGCGAGGGGGCGCCGCGAGAAGGGCTACCGGTCCCCATGGCGTCTGCGGGGGGCGGCTCCCTGGGCCTCCTGGCCTGGCTCCTGGTCCTTCAGGCACGGCTCGCTCAGGCCCCGGCGGGCTGGCGGACACCTGTCTCTTCCTCTCCTTCCCCCTCCTGGGGCGGCGGCGGCGAGGAGCCTGCGGCGGCTCAGGGGTCTCCGAAGGCCTCCGGGTCCTCGGCCTCCGGGTCCTCGGCCTCCGGGCCCTCGGCCTCCGGACCGTCTTTGTACGCCTTCACCCCAGGTGACGCTTGGCGGAGGATGGGTAGAGCCGCCCGCGGGGGGACCCTGGGAAGTTCTGCGGGCGGAAGTCTGAGGTTTCTGGCCTGGGGAATCTGAAGCGCTGCCCTGGAGTCCAGGAGGACGTGGCTTCCTTTTGTCTCGGGACTTGTGGTACTTTCTCGAGAAGCCCTGGGCGCGGGGGACACAGGCCCTGCGTCTCTGAGTTCTTACGACCCTGTCCTCACCCCAGTGTGTGGCAATAGCTTCCTGAAAATCTTGGGAGGAGCGGATGCGCAGGAAGGGAGGTGGCCCTGGCAGGTGAGCTTGAGGATCAACAACAGGCACGTCTGCGGAGGCTCGCTCATCCTGGCGCAGTGGGTGCTGACCGCGGCCCACTGCATTTTAAGGTGAGAGTGGACATGGAGATGCGAGAGTTCCGGAGGCAGCCTGGCCCTCCTCAAACCGCCGCTGAGTTCTGCTGCTGTGGCAAATTGACACAAACAAAACAATAAAAGGGCAGGGGTTCTGCCTCGGGAGCCTACTAGGAGTAAGTACTAAAGCGGCAGGCAAACCAATCTGGAGAGCGACGGAGGAGAGGTTTTTGGTGAGGGAGATGGGGTGATAGAGACGGTGGCAAGGGAGGTTGGGGCCTGTTCTGGAAACATATGGAATGTGTGGAAAAGGCACACGTGATGTTTCCCAGGGTTTCTATGAGGGACGTGTTCTCTCTCCCACAGCCGTTTCCATTACAGTGTCAAGATGGGAGATGTCAGTGTCTATACTAGAAACACAAGTCTGATCATTCCTGTGGAAAACATCATCGTCTACCCTGAATTCAGAACATTGAGAACTGTTCAAAATGACCTTGCACTTCTCCACCTCCTCTACCCTGTGAATTTTACTTCAAACATCCAGCCTATCTGCATCCCTCAGCAAACTTTCCAGGTGGAAGCTGGGACCAGGTGCTGGGTGACTGGATGGGGCAAACTAAAAGAAAGCGGTGAGACTTCAAGGCAGGAGGCAAACTCAGGGCAGAGGGGAGGCAGCCTTATCCCTGGAGTGCACAAGAAAGCTTGAGGGAGGGACAAGGAGGTAGACTGCCTGGCAGGCGGCAGGTGAGTAAGGGGGAAGCAGTATAGCAGCACTCAGGGTAATGGTTTCTGATTGGCTTGGGTCACCCCAGAAACTGGGTTGGGTTCTTTGGTTGCAACACAAATATTTGCAGTCATTTAGGAAAGTTGCCTGTCCTGGGAACTAGAGTTGAACAACCAGGAGAAGAAGAAACATATGGGGAAAGGCTTCTGCAGATTTGTGGGGCACTGTGTTCAACCGGTTTGGGAGTATTTTTAGGTTCCTTGGGGACAGAGCCAGAGGCTATGGAGTTCTTCCAGGGACAATTTTTGCTCAAGGGGTGATGAGCTGTCTACCAGTCAGAGCTGCTTCTTACTAAAAGGACCTGCTTTGGTGGGTAGGGAGTTTCCTGTCCCTGGGGTGTAGGGAGAGCCTGCTGGTGGGGTATAGGGTCTCTTATACCTGCGGAGAAGCTGGACTTGGTACCCTTGAGGCAGTACCTGTCTAGTGACCCTGCTCTAGAACGTATGCCTTTCTAGATGCACAGGACACCCTATTACTATTACTACTGATGCTTGGAGTGATAGGTGCTTGGTTTTGATTTGTCGAGTTGGTAAGGTCTTGCCTTCTCTCTCATGAAATATTCGCCCTGTTCCTCTTTTGCTTTTGCTTCTTACATCCTTCCCTCCCCATGTCCACTTTGGGCTTGAGCTTCCTTCTTTATCAAATAGGGACAATACTTGCTGCCCTGCCTTCTTCCAGGGGAGCACTGGGTGTTTGGGGGTTTGTTGTTCCCTTGTGCAGATCCACACACTGCTGATCTTCTTTGTCAGTGGAATCTGTTCCATCAGAAACTCTCCAGGAGGTGGAGCAATACATCATCCTCTATAAAAAATGTAATGAGATGATTCGGTCCTACATGCCATCGACTACGGAATTAGTACTAGAAGGAATGATCTGTGGCTATAATCAAAAGGGAAAGGATGCTTGTCAGGTAAGTTTGTGAGCCCTTTCCTCATTCCCAGGTGGTAGGGCCTAGGTTATTTGCTACCTCCTCTATTCATCCACAGTTGAGTTAAGGAGATTCATGGAGAGAAATCCACCATGGCTCCCCTGAACTGGCCTGGCTTATTCCTTCAAAAGGGAGCAGTTCTCACTGACTAGGGGCACTGCTGGAATGTAGGAAAGTTGGGGGTGCGTCATGCTAATAATATACATTGCATTAATTGAGCTCTATGTGACACTCACCATGCCAATGGGAGCATTAACCCACATCTCAGTTAACTTACATCACAACCCTGTAACATAGACATCATGCTCACATAGATGAGGAAGGCGAGATCCAGAGATTTTAGTTCCAAGTTCTGTGATTACCTGTATGACTCCTAGACCCACACTATTCCTTCTGCATCAAGCTGCCTTCCGAAGCAGGGGGCATTTGAGCCAGGTCTTAAAGGATGAGTGTTTGGATTTCTTGGAGAGAGAAGAAGAACATTGTAGGGAGAGGGAATAGCAAGTACAGCAGTTCAAAGATCTGAGGGAACTTATCACATTCAAGAAACATTTGGAGCAATGAAGTAGCGAATGTGGCCAGAGGAGCGGGTTGGAGTCAGAATATTGCAGCTTGGAATGGTAAGCCAAATTTCTGGGTGAGCATGATCAGGGTTGCCTTTTAGATAAATGAGTCCCTGAGCTGTGTGGTGCATGGGCAGAAGTCTAGAAGCTGTTTTCATCATCTGGCAGTGATAAATTGAGTCCCAAGCAGTGCCTGGGGCAGGAAGGTGCATGAAAGTGTGCTTAAGGTCAAATAATCAGTTTTTGGTGACTGGCTGCACATGGGTGTGGTGGTGAGGAAAAGTTTGGCCTTGTGTTTTGGTCTGAGGTGGTTGGTGGTGGGGCCACCAGAGCAGGTTTGGGAAAGGACATGCAGAGTTCTGCTTTAGTTGTCATGTGTGAGATGTCTGAGAGTGGAACATACAACGTGGAGAGAGCTGCCTATATCGATTAGGAACTAGAAAATGTAAGGATTTAGTCCTTCTGCTTGGGGCTGCCATGCAGAGGTGACATTCCAAATGTTTAACAACCACTATGGTTTGAAAAATGACCAGTCATAATTTCCTCAGAGGATATGAAGGTTTTCCTATTAACTTTTTTTCTTATTTATTTATTTTAGCAATGGGGTCTCCCTCTGCCACCCAGGCTGGAGTGCAGTGGCATTTAGTTTAATGTAACCTTGAACTCCTGGACTCAAGGGATCCTCTCACCTCAGCCTCCAAAGTACTAGGACTGGTACAGGTGTGCACTAGCACACCAAGCTAATTTTAATTTTTGTCCAGACAGGATCTCCTTATTTGCCCTGGTGGGTCTTAAATTCCTGGCCTTAAGATCCTCCTGCCACGACCTCCCACACAGCTGTGACAAAATGGCCTGAGCCACCATCCCCGCCAAATTTTCATTTCACATGTTCGCATATTCAGTTCTCATATTCTTTGAGATGCCAGGGGGAACTCCATGCATGCCTGTCTCCCCAGTGCCTTGCAGTGCAATCAGCTTGCTTTGATATGGATCCTATTCCATTTCTGGAGTTTCTTTCTTTCTTTTTTTTCTCCAGGGAGATTCTGGAGGCCCCATGGTCTGTGAATATAATGCCACATGGATCCAAGTGGGGATTGTGAGCTGGGGTGTCGGCTGTGGTCGTGAAGGAATACCTGGAGTTTACACAGCAACTAGTCCCTATAGTAAGTGGATGGTTGCAGTGGTGAACCAGGCTACCTCTTTGTATTCAGTGGTGTTCCTCATTTTACTCCTGTGCTTTGTGCAGCCACTGGGCATCCTGGTGATGCCATGATCACTCCAGCTTACTATTCCCCTCCTGTTTCTGAGTCTTAAACTTAGGGGTCTCCTCTGGCCAACCTCCTACTCCTTCTCAGTGCCCCTTCCTCAAATCTCAGTTATCTACTGGCCATTTGGAGACCCACACAAGTGAGCATGGCAGGGAGACTGAGGCCTAGAAAGTGTCCCTGCCTGGTGCTCTGGTCACCTGCCTTGGCCACTCTTACACCTGGGCTATGTTCTGCCTGGTAGAAAGCAGGAGATGAACCAATCCCAGCTAGGGGGCCAGCTGCCCTGCCAAGTGAGGCATGATGACTCATCACTGTCTTGGAGAACATTGACTAAAGAAGAGACATCATTGGCAGTGAGGCAAGCCTTAGACTTGGTCCTGGTTTCAGGGCTGTCACCTGAGACTTTGTGAAACCAGCTTGGTTTTGCTCAGAGAGAGTGAAGGAGGCGTTACCAGATCCCTGCAGAGGTGCAAGGCCTCAACCACCTCTGGCTCAGTTGTCTGGGGCTGGGAGAAGTTCCCCTATATCCCACTGTGGATCTATCTGTGAGTGGACATCCTCTGTCACACAAGCCCTCTCAGGAAAACCCATTCCTAGTGGCCACATCCAGGGCCACTCATGTTTTTTTTGAGGCAGTTATGGAGTACAGTTTTTAGAAAGCAGCTGAATAAAAAATGTTTAGAGACTCTCCTGTGTGTTCTGCATTTCTACTGGCCTGGGGGTTGGTAACATTGAAGAGAATTTACCTCACATTAAGCTTAGGAAGATGTTGATGATTCTTTTAAAATCATAGAAAGAGAGGGGATGTGAGTTGGACAAATGGTTCTAGACAGTTGGGTTCTGCTGCCTAACAGGAAAAAGCCCAAACTCTACAAAATGATTTAAAGATGTTTGTTCTGAGCCTAATATGTGTGACCATGGCCTGGGGAGTCATGTTCAGGAAGTCTTGAGCATGTCCTTAGTTGGTTGGGTAATAATATTGTTTTATACATGTTAAAGACATAGGGATTGCAGGTAAAATCATAAATTAATACATGGAAGATGTGTATTGATTTGGTCTGAAAAGGCGGGACATGGGAGAGGGATGGTTATAAGTTATAGGTGGGTTCAAAGATTCTTTAATTTACAATTGGTTAAAGGAATAAAGCTTTGTCTAAACAAAGCCTTGGAATGTTTAAAGTTAAGATAAGGAAGTCTAGGCTGGGCACAGTGGCTCATGCCTATAATCCTAGCGTTCCGGGAGGCCAAGGCAGGAGGATTGCTTGAGCTCAGGAGTTCAAGACCAGCCTGAGCAAGAGTGAGACCCCATCTCTACTAAAAATAGAAAAATTAGCTGGGTGTGATGGTGTATGCCTATAGTTCCAGCTATTTAGAAGGCTCAGACAGGAGGATAGCTTGAGCTCAGGAATTTGAGGTTGTAGTGAGCTATGATGACACTGCTACACTCTATTCCAGGGTGACAGAGGAAGACTATACTCTGTCTCAAAAAAAAAAAAAAAAGTCTATTAATCAGAGATGAGCCACAATATCTGTTAAGGAAATTGATGGCCTACAGGCAATTTAACTTTTGTTCTGCATGCCCTTAGGTCTTGTTAATTTAGTATCTTATTGTTTGAGGCCTGCCAAACCTCCCTTTCAGGGCCAAGAGCTCAGTTTTAAGGGTTTTCTGGGGTCCCCTTGGCCTAGAGGGGGTCTGTTCAGTCTGTGTGTGGGGTAGCTTGTAGGATTTTATTTTAGTTCACACTCCTCATAGCCAGCAGCATTTCCACATGGAGATTTGTAGCTGAGTTTGCTAGTACTGCATCTGGGAAGGAGGAGAGAGAGATTGGAAGCAGGAGAGGGATCAGGGCACTGCATCCCAAACTGCAATTTCCATTTTCTGCCTCTTTCTGCCTTAAGCTCTCCAGATATTTAGAGCCTTGAGCACCAGATTGCTTTAATGAGGCTCTGTGGAAAACAGAACTGAGGTTTAGGGAGATGATTGGTTGGGTTGCTTACTGGGTGTGGCTCATTTCCCTCATCAGCCTGTGGTCCAGGGTAGCTGTTTGTTATGATGCAGAACACTTCATAGTTCCTAATTTCTTTTTTTTTTTTCCTGAAACTTTGAAGCTGCCTCCTTTTAACAGAGGATTGGTGTGTTTTACATGTGGAAAAAAGGTGCACGTGAATATTTAGGTGAATAAAGACCAGTAGAGATTGGTAATTATCCTCCCTGGCACTTTCCCTTCCTTTTGGGTATATAGCTGATCAGAATAACGACTACATTTCTAAGCCTCTCTTTTATCTACATGTGACACAAGTTCTGGCCAAGTGGATAGAAACAGAAACATTAGTTGTGAATTCTGGGAAATGTCCTTAAAGGGAGGCCAAGCTCCTTTTCATCCCTTTCTTCTCTCCTGGTTGGACTGTATACATGGTGGCTAGTGTGTGAGCAGTCATCTCGGGATATGAAGAACATGCTAAGGTTGTGCTACAATAATTTAGAAGGAACTTGACTCCTTGGAATCCATAAAGCTGCCAATAGAGCCTTTAATGCAACAGAGAAAAAAGATTCATTTTTAATGATGCCACTGTCATCTTGAGTCTCAGTTACTCATAGAAAAACTTTATTCAAACGAATTCAATTTGCATCATTTGGAGCTTTATTTCTAGATTGTTATGAATATAGATTTTTCAAGTCATTTCTTATTTAGACTAAATTATTATTATTCTTTTGTACCTCTTTTTTATTTCAGATTAATGTGAGGGTACAAATAATTAGGTTACAATGTTCATATCTGTTAGGAAGAGTCCCTGTTGTAGTGTCCCACAACCAGAAAGTGTGCCATATACCCTTAGATTGTGCCCATTGAATGGGAG